ACTGAAGTGACTGAGTGAGCGAGTGACTGAGTGAGCGAGTGACTGAAGTAACTGAGTGAGCGAGTGACTGAGTGAGCGAGTGACTGAGTGACTGGAGTGACTAAGTGAGCGAGTGACTGAGTGAGCGATTGACTGAGTGACTGAGTGAGCGAGTGAGCGAGTGACTGAGTGAGCGAGTCACTGAGTGAGCGAGTGACTGAGTGACTGAGTGAGCGAGTGACTGAGTGACTGAGTGAGCGAGTGACTGAGTGAGCGAGTGACTGAAGTGACTGAGTGACTGAGTGAACGAGTGACTGAATGATCGAGTGAGCGAGTGAGCGAGTGACTGAGTGACTAAGTGAGCGAGTGACTGAGTGAGCGAGTGACTGAGTGAGCGAGTGACTGAGTGAGCGAGTGACTGAGTGACTGAGTGAGCAAGTGACTGGAGTGACTGAGTGAGCGAGTGACTGAGTGAGCGAGTGACTGAGTGACTGAGTGAGCGAGTGACTGAGTGAGCGAGTGACTGAGTGAGCGAGTGACTGGAGTGACTGAGTGAGCGCGTGACTGAGTGACTGAGTGAACGAGTGACTGAGTGAGCGAGTGATTGAGTGAGCGAGTGACTGAGTGACTGAGTGAGCGAGTGACTGAGTGAGCGAGTGACTAAGTGAGCGAGTGACTAAGTGAGCGAGTGACTAAGTGACTGGAGTGACTGAGTGAGCGAGTGACTGAGTGAGCGAGTGACTGAAGTGACTGATTGAGCGAGTGACTGCGTGAGCGAGTGACTGGAATGACTGAGTGAGCGAGTGACTGAGTGAGCGAGTGACTGAGTGACTGAGTGAGCGAGTGACTGAGTGAGCAAGTGACTGAATGACTGACTGAGCGAGTGACTGAGTGACTGAAGTGACTGAGTGAGCGAGTGACTGAAGTGACTGAGTGACTGAGTGAACGAGTGACTGAGTGAGCGAGTGAGCGAATGACTAAGTGAGCGAGTGACTGAATGACTGAGTGAGTGAGTGAGCGAGTGACTGAGTGAGCGAGTGACTAAGTGACTGGAGTGACTGAGTGAGCGAGTGACTGAAGTGACTGATTGAGCGAGTGACTGAGTGACTGGAGTGACTAAGTGAGCGAGTGACTGAGTGACTGAGTGAACGAGTGACTGAGCGAGTGACTGAGTGAGCGAGTGACTGAGTGAGCGAGTGACTGAGTGAGCGAGTGGGCGAGTGACTGAGTGAGCGAGTGACCGAGTGACTGGAGTGACTGAAGTGACTGAGTTAGCGAGTGACTGAGTGACTGACTGAGTGACTGAGTGATTGAGCGAGCGAGTGACTGAGTGAGTGACTGAGTGAGCGAGTGAGTGAGTGACTGAGTGACTGACTGAGTGACTGAGTGATTGAGCGAGCGAGTGACTGAGTGACTGACGGAGTGACTGAGCGAGTGAGTGACTGAGTGACTGACTGAGTGAGCGAGTGACTGAGTGAGCGAGTGACTGAGTGCCTGACTGAGTGACTGATTGAGTGAGCGAGTGACTGAGTGAACGAGTGACTGAGTGACTGAGTGAGTGACTGAGTGACTGATTGAGCGAGTGACTGAGTGACTGAGTGAGCGAGTGACTGAGTGATTGAGCGAGCGAGTGACTGAGTGAGTGAGCGAGTGACTGAATGAGCGAGTGACTGAGTGAGCGAGTGACTGCAGTGACTGACTGAGTGACTGACTGAGTGACTCTTTGACTGACTGAGTGAGCGAGTGACTGAGTGACTGACTGAGTGACTCTGTGACTGACTGAGTGAGTGACTGAGTGAGCGGGTGACTGAGTGACTGACTGAGTGACTGACTGAGCGAGTGACTGAGTGACTGACTGAGTGAGCGAGTGACTGAGTGAGTGACTGAGTGAGTGACTGACTGAGTGACTGACTGAGAGACTGACTGAGTGAGCGAGTGACTGAGTGACTGTGTGAGCGAATGACTGAGTGAGTGATTGAGCGAGTGACTGACTGAGTGACTGACTGAGTGAGTGACTGAGTGATTGAGCGAGCGAGTGACTGAGTGAGCGAGTGACTGAGTGATTGGAGTGACTAAGTGAGCGAGTGACTGAGTGAACGAGTGACTGAGTGACTGAGTGAGCGAGTGACTGAGTGAGCGAGTCACTGAGTGAGCGAGTGACTGAGTGACTGAGTGAGTGAGTGACTGAGTGAGCGAGTGAGCGAGTGACTGAGTGAGTCACTGAGTGAGCGAGTGACTGAGTGGCTGAGTGAGCGAGTGACTGAGTGACTGAGTGAGCGAGTGACTGAGCGAGTGACTGAGTGAGTGAGTGACTGAATGATCGAGTGATTGAGTGATCGAGTGATTGAGCGAGCAATTGACTGAGTGAGCGAGCGAGTGACTCAGTGACTGACTGAGTGACTGAGCGAGTGACTGAGTGAGCGAGTGACTGAGTGACTGAGTGAGCGAGTGACTGAGTGAGCAAGTGACTGAATGACTGACTGAGCGAGTGACTGAGTGAGCGAGTGACTGAGTGACTGAAGTGACTGAGTAAGCGAGTGACTGAAGTGACTGAGTGACTGAGTGAACGAGTGACTGAGTAAGCGAGTGAGCGAATGACCAAGTGAGCGAGTGACTGAGTGACTGAGTGAGTGAGTGAGCGAGTGACTGAGTGAGCGAGTGACTAAGTGACTGGAGTGACTGAGTGAGCGAGTGACTGAAGTGACTGATTGAGCGAGTGACTGAGTGACTGGAGTGACTAAGTGAGCGAGTGACTGAATGACTGAGTGAACGAGTGACTGAGTGACTGAGTGAGCGAGTGACTGAGTGACTGAGTGAGCGAGTAACTGAGTGACTGACTGAGCGAGTGACTGCGTGAGCGAGTGACTGAGTGAGCAAGTGACTGAGTGAGCGAGTGGGCGAGTGACTGAGTGAGCGAGTGACTGAGTGACTGGAGTGACTGAAGTGACTGAGTTAGCGAGTGACTGAGTGACTGACTGAGTGACTGACTGAGTGATTGAGCAAGCGAGTGACTGAGTGAGTGACTGAGTGAGCGAGTGAGTGAGTGACTGAGTGAGTGACTGAGTGATTGAGCAAGCGAGTGACTGAGTGACTGACTGAGTGACTGAGCGAGTGACTGAGTGAGTGACTGAGTGACTGACTGAGTGAGCGAGTGACTGAGTGAGCGAGTGACTGAGTGACTGACTGAGTGACTGATTGAGTGAGCAAGTGACTGAGTGAACGAGTGACTGAGTGAGTGACTGAGTGACTGATTGAGCGAGTGACTGAGTGACTGAGTGAGCGAGTGACTGAGTGATTGAGCGAGCGAGTGACTGAGTGAGTGAGCGAGTGACTGAGTGAGCGAGTGACTGAGTGAGCGAGTGACTGCAGTGACTGACTGAGTGACTGACTGAGTGACTCTTTGACTGACTGAGTGAGTGACTGAGTGAGCGAGTGACTGAGTGACTGACTGAGTGACTCTGTGACTGACTGAGCGAGTGACTGAGCTAGTGACTGAGTGAGTGAGTGACTGAGTGACTGACTGAGTGACTGACTGAGAGACTGACTGAGTGAGCGAGTGACTGAGTGACTGTGTGAGCGAATGACTGAGTGAGTGATTGAGTGAGTGACCAACTGAGTGACTGACTGAGTGAGTGACTGAGTGATTGAGCGAGCGAGTGACTGAGTGAGCGAGTGACTGAGTGATTGGAGTGACTAAGTGAGCGAGTGACTGAGTGAGCGAGTGACTGAGTGAACGAGTGACTGAGTGACTGAGTGAGCGAGTGACTGAGTGAGCGAGTCACTGAGTGAGCGAGTGACTGAGTGACTGAGTGAGTGAGTGAGCGAGTGAGCGAGTGACTGAGTGAGTGAGTCACTGAGTGAGCGAGTGACTGAGTGGCTGAGTGAGCGAGTGACTGAGTGACTGAGTGAGCGAGTGACTGAGCGAGTGACTGAGTGAGTGAGTGACTGAGTGATCGAGTGATTGAGTGATCGAGTGATTGAGCGAGCAATTGACTGAGTGAGTGAGCGAGTGACTGAGTGAACGAGTGACTGACTGAGTGACTGACTGAGTGACTGAGTGAGCGAGTAACTGAATGAGCGAGTGACTGAGTGACTGAGTGACTGACTGACTGACTGAGTGAGTGAGTGATCGAGTGACTGAGTGAACGAGTGACTAAGTGACTGAGTGAGCGAGTGACTGAGTGACTGCAGTGACTGGAGTGACTGAAGTGACTGAGTTAGCGAGTGACTGAGTGACTGACTGAGTGACTGACTGAGTGATTGAGCGAGCGAGTGACTGAGTGAGTGACTGAGTGAGCGAGTGAGTGAGTGAGTGACTGAGTGACTGACTGAGTGACTGAGTGATTGAGCGAGCGAGTGAACGAGTGACTGAGTGAGTGACTGAGTGACTGATTGAGCGAGTGACTGAGTGACTGAGTGAGCGAGTGACTGAGTGATTGCGCGAGCGAGTGACTGAGTGAGTGACTGAGTGAGTGAGCGAGTGACTGAGTGAGCGAGTGACTGCAGTGACTGACTGAGTGACTGACTGAGTGATTGAGCAGGCGGGTGACTGAGTGACTGACTGAGTGACTGACTGAGTGACTCTTTGACTGACTGAGTGAGTGACTGAGTGAGTGAGCGAGTGACTGAGTGAGCGAGTGACTGAGTGAGCGAGTGACTGCAGTGACTGACTGAGTGACTGACTGAGTGATTGAGCGGGCGGGTGACTGAGTGACTGACTGAGTGACTGACTGAGTGACTCTTTGACTGACTGAGTGAGTGATTGAGCGAGTGTCTGACTGAATAAGTGACCGAGTGATTGAGCGAGCGAGTGACTGAGCGAGTGAGTGAGTGACTGAGTGTTCGAGTGATTGAGTGATCGAGTGATTTAACGAGCAATTGACTGAGTGAGTGAGCGAGTGACTGAATGACTGAGTGAACGAGTGACTGACTGAGTGACTGACTGAGTGACTGAGTGAGCGAGTAACTGAATGAGCGAGTGACTGACTGACTGAGTGAGTGAGTGATTGAGTGACTGAGTGAACGAGTGACTGACTGAGTGACTGCGTGAGCGAGTGACTGAGTATCTGGGTCACCTATCGATCCTTTTTCGATATCCGATTAGGGGATTTGTTTTTTTTGCAAGCACGAAACAGCGCCTCCCCGTGTCAACTAACGACGATAAACCTAGTTTGTATGTAGTATTTGAACATATTTCTTTTTTTTGTAAATAAAATTTTAAAAAATTATGTTTACCTCAAATAACGACACATTTTAAGTTACGTAAGTCGGCCACGTTATACGACCGCTCCGTATTTGCCTCAGCCGGTGGTGACGTTCAGCCGTTTAGGCCAAGACGATGATGATTATTATATCTTAATACACTTACGAAAGGGGTTAGGGAGGGATAGCAATGTTTGTTTGTTTGTTTTATTTGGCGGATAAACAAAATTGAAAAAAAAACATTTTTTTTGCCGGTGCGACCCGTCTCTCGCCTAGCGCTTCGTGCGGGAAGCCTGCGCTAGGCCGCCGGCCAGGTGGAGGAGGAGGAGGCGCTCGTCGACTTTCGGGTTGGTTGTGTTCGTTCTTGAACAAATGTTTTTAGTTTTTAAAATTTGATTAATTGACTGTTGCTATTTGTTGCTGCTGCTGCTGTTGTTATTTAAATGTGTCCGGCATTGTTTGGAGCGGTCTTTGTTGTGGAACGGATCGGTGATGTCTCGGATTTCTTAAGACTGTAGTCCAGTCGTTGTGTTACAGTGTTCAGTGTGAGTCTGTGGGTCTCTGTGTGGTTCTGTGGGTCTCTGTGTGAGTCTGTGGGTCTCTGTGTGAGTCTGTGGGTCTCTGTGTGAGTCTGTGGGTCTCTGTGTGAGTCTGTGGGTCTCTGTGTGAGTCTGTGGGTCTCTGTGTGAGTCTGTGGGCTCTGTGCGAGTCTGTGGGTCTCTGTGCGAGTCTGTGTGTCTCTGTGTGAGTCTACGGGTCTCTGTGTGAGTCTGTGGGTCTCTGTGCGAGTCTGTGGGTCTCTGTGCGAGTCTATGAGTCTCTGTGCGAGTCTATGGGTCTCTGTGCGAGTCTATGGGTCTCTGTGCGAGTCTGTGGGGCTCTGTGCGAGTCTGTGGGTCTCTGTGTGAGTCTGTGGGTCTCTGTGTGAGTCTGTGAGTCTCTGTGTGAGTCTGTGAGTCTCTGTGTGAGTCTGTGGGTCTCTGTGTGAGTTTATGGGTCTCTGTGTGAGTCTGTGGGTCTCTTTGTGAGTCTAAGGGTCTCTGTGTGAGTCTACGGGTCTCTGTGTGAGCCTATGGGTCTCTGTGCGAGTCTGTGGGTCTCTGTGTGAGTCTGTGGATCTCTGTGTGAGTCTGTGGGTCTCTGTGTGAGTCTGTGGATCTCTGTGTGAGTCTGTGGGTCTCTGTGTGAGTCTACGGGTCTCTGTGTGAGTCTACGGGTCTCTGTGTGAGTCTGTGGGTCTCTGTGTGAGTCTACGGGTCTCTGTGTGGTTCTGTGGGTCTCTGTGTGAGTCTGTGGGTCTCTGTGTGAGTCTATGGGTCTCTGTGAGTCTGTGGGTCTCTGTAAGTCCATGGGTCTCTATGTGAGTCTGTGGGTCTCTGTGTGGTTCTGTGGGTCTATGTGTGAGTCTGCGGGTCTCTGTGTGGTTCTGTGGGTCTCTGTATGAGTCTGTGGGTCTCTGTGTGAGTCTACGGGTCTCTGTGTAAGTCTACAGGTCTCTGTATGAGTCTGTGGGTCTCTGTGTGAGTCTACGGGCCTCTGTGTGAGTCTACGGGTCACTGTGTGAGTCTGTGGGTCTCCGTGTGAGTCTGTGGGTCTCTGTGTGACGTCTGTGGGTCTCTGTGTGAGTCTATGGGTCTCTGTGTGAGTCTCTGGGTCTCTGTGTGAGTCTGTGGGTCTCTGTATGAGTCTGTGGGTCTCTGTGTGAGTCTCTGGGTCTCTGTGTGAGTCTGTGGGTCTCTGTGTGAGTCTGTGGGTCTCTGTGTGAGTATACGGGTCTATGTGTGAGTCTACGGGTCTCTGTGTGAGTCTACGAGTCTCTGTGTAAGTCTACGGGTCTCTGTGTGAGTCTGTGGGTCTCTGTGTGAGTCTAAGGGTCTCTGTGTGAGTCTATGGGTCTCTGTGTGAGTCTACGGGTCTCTGTGTGAGTCCGTGGGTCTCTGTGTGAGTCTATGGGTCTCTGTGTGAGTCTGTGGGTCTCTGTGTGAGTCTACGGGTCTCTATGTGAGTCTACGGGTCTCTGTGTGAGTGTACGGGTCTCTGTGTGACGTCTGTGGGTCTCTGTGTGAGTCTGTGGGTCTCTGTGTGAGTCTACGAGTCTCTGTGTGAGTCTACGGGTCTCTGTGTGAGTCTGTGGGTCTCTGTGTGGTTCTGTGGGTCTGTGTGAGTCTGTGGGTCTCTGTGTGAGTCTATGGGTCTCTGTGCGAGTCTACGGGTCTCTGTGTGAGTCTGCGGGTCTCTGTGTGAGTCTGTGGGTCTCTGTGTGAGTCTAAGGGTCTCTGTGTGAGTCTATGGGTCTCTGTGTGAGTCTAAGGGTCTCTGTGTGAGCCTGTGGGTCTCTGTGTGAGTCTAAGGGTCTCTGTGTGAGTCTATGGGTCTCTGTGTGAGTCTACGGGTCTCTGTGTGAGTCCGTGGGTCTCTGTGTGAGTCTATGGGTCTCTGTGTGAGTCTATGGGTCTCTGTGTGAGTCTAAGGGTCTCTGTGTGAGTCTATGGGTCTCTGTGTGAGTCTATGGGTCTCTGTGTGAGTCTGTGGGTCTCTGTGTGAGTCTATGTGTCTCTGTGCGAGTCTGTGGGTCTCTGTGTGAGTCTACGGGTCTCTGTGTGAGTCTGTGGGTCTCTGTGTGAGTCTACGGGTCCCTGTGTGAGCCTATGGGTCTCTGTGTGAGTCTACGGGTCTCTCTGTGAGTCTGGTGGTCTCTGTGTGAGTCTGTGGGTCTCTGTGTGAGTCTGTGGGTCTCTGTGTGGTTCTGTGGGTCTCTGTGTGAGTCTGTGGGTCTCTGTGTGAGTCTGTGGGTCTCTGTGTGAGTCTGCGGGTCTCTGTGCGAGTCTACGGGTCTCTGTGTGAGTCTATGGATCTCTGTGTGAGTCTATGGGTCTCTGTGTGAGTCTATGGGTCTCTGTGAGTCTACGGGCCTTTGTGTGAGTCTGTGGGTCTCTGTACGAGTCTGACCTGGCATCGCGGATGGAGGGGAAATGTCAGCGTTGTAGCGTGATCACAAAACCCCGATGGAACTTCTCTTATCACTGTCTCCACCAACACTGCCACCACCACCATCACACATACACACAGTGACACACACATTGACACACACACTGACACACAGTGACACGCACACAGTGACACACACAGTGACACACACACAGTGACATACACACAGTGACACACAGTGACACGCACACAGTGACACACACAGTGACACACACACAGTGACACACACACACAGTGACACGCACAGTGACACACACAGTGACACACACACAGTGACATACACACACTGACACACACACACTGACACACAGTGACACGCACACAGTGACACACAATGACACACACACAGTGACATACACACAGTGACACACACACTGCCACACAGTGACACGCACACAGTGACACACACAGTGACACACACACTGACACACAGTGACACGCACACAGTGACACACAGTGACACACACACAGTGACACACACACACAGTGACACACACACACAGTGACACACACAGTGACACACACACACACACTGACACACACACAGTGACACACACACAGTGACACACAGTGACACACAGTGACACACACACAGTGACACACACAGTGAGACACAGTGACACACACACAGTCACACACACACTGACACACACACAGTGACACACAGTGACACACAGTGACACACACACAGTGGCACACACATTGACACACACACAGTGACACACACAGTGACACACACACAGTGACACACACAGTGACACACACACACTGACACACCCACAGTGACACACAGTGACACACACACAGTGACACACTGGCACACACACAGTGGCACACACACACAGTGACACACACAGTGACACACAGTGACACACACACAGTGACACACACACAGTGACACGCACAGTGACACACAGTGACACACACACAGTGACACACACAGTGACACACAGTGACACACACACAGTGACACACACACAGTGACACGCACAGTGACACACACAGTGACACACACAGTGACACACACACAGTGACACGCACAGTGACACACAGTGACACACACACAGTGATAGACAGTGACACACACACAGTGACACACACAGTGACACGCACAGTGACACACAGTGACACACACACAGTGACACACAGTGACACACACACACAGTGACACACACACAGTGACACGCACAGTGACACACACACAGTGACACACACAGTGACACACACACAGTGACACACACAGTGACACACACACACAGTGACACACACACAGTGACACACACAGTGACACACAGTGACACACACACAGTGACACACACAGTGACACACACACAGTGACACACACAGTGACACACAGTGACACACACACAGTGACACACACAGTGACACACACACAGTGACACACACAGTGACACACACACAGTGACACACACAGTGACACACACAGTGACACACACACACAGTGACACACACAGTGACACACACACACAGTGACACACACACAGTGACACACACACAGTGACACACACAGTGACACACACACAGTGACACACACAGTGACACACACACAGTGACACACACAGTGACACACACACAGTGACACACACACAGTGACACACACAGTGACACACACACACAGTGACACACACAGTGACACACACACACAGTGACACACACACAGTGACACATACACAGTGACACACAGTGACACACACACAGTGACACACACAGTGACACACACACAATGACACACACACACAGTGACACACACAGTGACACACACACAGTGACACACACACAGTGACACACACAGTGACACACACACAGTGAACACACACACAGTGACACACACAGTGACACACACACAGTGAACACACACACAGTGACACACACAGTGACACACACAGTGACACACAGTGACACACACACACACATTGACACACACACAGTGACACACACACAGTGACACACACAGTGACACATACAGTGACACACAGTGACACACACACGCATTGACACACACACAGTGACACACACACACAGTGACACACACAGTGACACACACAGTGACACACACACAGTGACACACACACACAGTGACACACACAGTGACACACACACACACACAGTGACACACACACACAGTGACACACACAGTGACACACAACACACACACAGTGACACACACACACAGTGACACACACAGTGACACACACACAGTGACACACACAGTGACACACACACACACAGTGACACACACAGTGACACACACACAGTGACACACACACAGTGACGCACACAGTGACACACACACAGTGAACACACACACAGTGACACACACAGTGACACACACAGTGACACACAGTGACACACACACACATTGACACACACACAGTGACACACACACAGTGACACACACAGTGACACACACAGTGACACACAGTGACACACACACACATTGACACACACACAGTGACACACACACAGTGACACACACAGTGACACACACAGTGACACACACACAGTGACATACACAGTGACAAACACAGTGACACATACACACACAGTGACACACACAGTGACACACACACAGTGACACACACACACAGTGACACACACAGTGACACACGGAGCGCTCGCCACTGGTGGTGGTGGTGGTGAACGGGAATCGAACTCGGGTCGCCGGGGTTCGTAGCATCGCACCCCGATTACCGCTGCACCACCGCTCCCCACCCACAACTACCCACCCACACACCCACCCACACCCACCCACATACACACACCACCACCCACACACTCACCCACACCCCACCCACCCACCCACACACACACCCACAAACACACATCCACCCAACCACACCCCACCCACACCCAAACCCACACACACACATACACACACCACCACCCACACACCCACCCACACACCCACCCACACCCACATACACACACCACCACCCACACACCCACCCACACCCCACCCACCCACCCACACACACACCCACAAACACACACCCACCCAACCACACCCCACCCACACCCAAACCCACACACCCACCCACACCCACCCACATACACACACCACCACCCACACACCCACCCACACCCCACCCACCCACACACACACCCACAAACACACACCCACCCAACCACACCCCACCCACACCCAAACCCACACACACACCCACACACACACACCCACACCCAAACCCACACACACACCCACCCACACCCCACCCACACCCAAACCCACACACACACACACCCACCCACACCCACCCACACCCCACCCACCACCGCTACTGCACTTTATAAAAGCGTCGTTGTTGCTCCGGGCTCAGCTCCACAAATCACTACTACTACTACTGCTGCTGTTGTTGTTGTCACCCGGCCACTTGGCAACTGTCCCCAGATCCTCGCCGCGCCTGGAAGCCGCAGCCTCTGGTGGTGGTGGTGGTGGTGGCGGTGGTGGCGGTGGTGGCGGTGGTGGCGGTGGTGGCGGTGGTGGTGGAGGAGCAGGAGGAGGTGGTGAACTTGGGACTTGCTCACGTGGTGAGCGGATGGGCGTGAGGTGACGGAACGAGAGGTGGGTGACGGGACAGAGGGAGACACGCACGGGACACGGGGACACGGGGAGAGACGGTGAGAGACACACACACAGAGAGAGACACAGGGACACACAGAGACACAGAGAGACACTGGGAGAGACACAGAGAGACGCAGAGAGACACAGAGAGACAGACAGTGAGAGTCATAGGGACACAGAGAGAGAGACACAGAGAGACACACAGAGAGACACACAGAGAGAGACACAGGGACACACAGAGACACAGAGAGACACTGGGAGAGACACAGAGAGACGCAGAGAGACACAGAGAGACACACAGTGAGAGTCATAGGGACACACAGAGAGAGACACACAGAGAGACACAGGGACACACAGAGAGAGACACAGAGAGACACACAGTGAGACACAGAGACACACAGAGAGACACAGAGAGACACACAGAAACTAGAGACACACAGAGAGAGAGACATAGAGAGACACATAGAGAGACACAGAGAGACACAGAGAAAGAGACAGAGTGAGACACAGAGAGACACACAGAGAGACACACAGAGAGACACACAGAGAGACACACAGAGAGAGACACAGAGAGAGACACGCAGACACACACACAGAGACACACAGAGACACAGAGAGAGAGACACAGAGAGACACACAGACAGAGACACAGAGAGAGACACACACAGAAACACACAGAGACACAGAGAGAGAGACACAGAGAGAGAGACACAGAGAGAGACACACAGAGAGAGACACACAGAGAGACACACAGAGACACAGAGAGACACACAGAGACACAGAGAGAGAGACAGAGAGACACACAGAGAGACACAGTGAGAGACACAGTGAAAGACACAGAGAGACACACAGAGAGAGACACACAGAGAGAGACACAGAGAGAGACAGAGTGAGAGACACACAGAGAGAACGACAGACAGAGACACAGAGAGACACAGAGAGAGAGACACACAGAGACACAGAGAGACACACAGAGACACAGAGAGAGAATCAGAGAGAAACACAGAGAGAGACACAGTGAGAGACACAGTGAAAGACACAGAGAGACACACAGACAGAGACACAGAGACACACACACAGAGACACAGAGAGAGACACACACAGAGAGAGACACAGAGAGAGACACAGTGAGAGACACACAGAGAGAACGACAGACAGAGACACAGAGAGACACAGAGAGAGACACGCAGAGACACACAGACACACACAGACACACAGAGAGAGAGACACAGAGAGACAGATACTCAGCAAAGGGACGCCACCACCAAAGGCAAAGATCCCCCATGTAGCCTGTAACAGGCTGTAGGGGCAAGTGCTGTGAGCGAGCGGCACCTATGAAGGCTGCCGGCACTGTGGCACACGAGGGGGTGGGGTGGCCAGCACCACGCCCGGCCGCCTTTGTCTCCCTCAGTGGCAAAGTTTACCACATGCACACACACGTACATACACTCACACATACACTGACACATACACTCACACACACACAACAACAACAACAACCGCCATTCGCCACTAAGTGGCGGTGACGTCACCACGACGCTTGTGCCAGGCTATGTGCACCCTGAGGCCACGTGAAGTGTCGAACGCCCGCTGGCAGGAGGTCACGGGGCAGACCCAGGTGCCACGGGTCGACTGACTGAGATGACTGGCTGATGCACCACCTGTGCCCCCTACTGTGCCAACCTGCTGTGCTTTAGCCACCCGGCGCTCCGCTCGTTGTTGTGAGCGTCGCTCCTCCGCCCTCCGTTGTTGTTGGAGGGCGACTGCCTCCAACTGCCCAGTAGCATCCTTCACGAGCCTCCTCCACAGAGGCCGATCTTGACACCGCTGGTACCAGTCATCGGCAAGTCCACTCAGCTCCACGTCCTCCTGTACCACATCACTCCATCTCTTCTCTAGCCCATGCCGCGCCCATTTAGCCCCCTTTATCTGGCCGAACAAAAGCTGTTTAGGCATGCGGTGGCTGGGCATGCGGGCTACATGACCCAGCCAACACAGTCTTGCCTGCCGGAGGAACTTAATGATGGGAATGTGTCCAGATCTTTCAAGGATTTATGAGCTCCTCACACAATCCAGCCTGGCTAAACCCAGGATGGATCGTAGCCAGGCCAGCCTAAATGTTTCTAACCGGCGAAGATGTTCCATTAGGGGGGGTCCACGTTTCGCAAGCATAGGGAAGGGAGGGAATGACTGTGGCCGAGAAGACCCAAAGCTTTGTGTGAAGCGACAGACCAGGTAGCTTCCACACAGCGTTACGCAGCCGATGAAAAGGTAATTCCGCTCGACTGATTCCGAGTGAGACTGCTGTTATCAAACTGGAGCCGGCCATGAGCACACTGTCCAGGTATGGGAAACTCTCCATTCTCTCCACAACTGCCCCATCACCGATTGGGAGTTGTGGGGGTGGAGTGTCCAAAGGCACAACATACCCAGGCAGGTGCTTAGTTTTGGTGGGGCTGATGGTAAGGCCCCACCTCTTGGTGGCAAGCTCCAGGTTCAGCAGCAGCGCCTCCAACTCCTCCTCTGAGTGAGCAGCAATTACCAGATCATCGGCATACATAACGTGGTTGACCAATAGGCAGCCATCCTTTGATTGCACCCGGGCATCAATCAGCCTCCCATTTATCTGTACCAGATGGAAATTCCTCCGGTACAGCTATCGGAGGCTTCATGTACTACGTGGTCGAAATAGATGTCAAATAATGTGGGAGCCAGAGGACATCCCTGTCACACCCGAAGGTGAACAGGGAATGGCTCCGACTCCCAGCCACGTAGTTTTACCCTGGCCTGCCCAGCATCATGAAGGTCCTTAATGATCAGTTCAGTTTATTTATTTTGGTATAGCCCTGTGAGCCATCCGGCTCTTGAATCGGGTGCAACCACAACAAACAAAAAAACAAAAACACGAACAAGAAAAACATCTTATAGTGACTGTGTGTGACTGTGCAAACAGAAAATCCATGGGAAAAAAAAAACAGCAAAAATATTCCTGAAAAAAGCACCGTACACCAACGCTGTGTGCAAAAAATCCCAGTGGGATGCAAGTCAAACAACAACAACAACCACAAAAACTTAGATTAAGGCCATCAGTCTAACTCTGTACTACAACAAAGCAAACATGTCCAAACCAAAAAACTTTTCCAAATCACCAAAGAATAAAGCCATAATTGCAACGTAACAGTGATCACAAGGACTGTGACCGAATTTTTACAATAAACTACATAAATAGCATGTAACACCAAACCCTAGAGCCATAGCTGGCTGCATGAGTTACTCCACAACAACAGAAGCATCGGTCGGAGTATCAAATTTTTCAATGCACCTTTAAGATCAGCACGCTAAATCAAAATACAGATAATACTTTGCAGCGTCATCCGGAGCGAAACATTTTATTTTATTTTAGGCCACTGAATAGCAGTGGCAGCTAGGGGTGTGCAACCCCTCTAGAGCAGTTTTGAGAGAAGATCTCATTGGTAGAGATTCAAGTTGCAGTTTATTGGCACTAGCATTCCAGACTCTGGGGGCATCAATAGCAAAGGCCCTTCCTCCAGTTTTTGTACGGCAATAGGGAATGTGAAGCTGGTAAATGAGCGAAGACCTGAGGTCAAATTTGTTCTTTGAAACAGAGAGGAGATCCAGCAGGTAGTCTGCGGATTTTTGTTGTAAGTACATCGTGAATAAATAAGATCTGGTGCACAAGCCGTCGAACATTAAGAGATGTTAAGTTTGACCCAATGTGGAGATCACAGTGGTGAGTCCTATATGGGCAGTTCAACGTAAATCTTAAGGCCGAGTGATAGATGGAATCAAGCTTCTTCAATACAGTACTTGGGGCTGATTTATACACGATGTCACAGTAGTCAAGTAGAGGCAGTATGGTAGCTTTTATCAATTCCAAACGGAACATTGGGGGGAAGCAGTGCTTATATCGATACAGAAAACCAATTTTTATTTTGCTCTTTTTACCAATCTAATCAATGTGATCTTCAAAATTCAGTTTTGAATCCAGGATGACCCCAAGATACTTATAGATCTGGACTTGCTCTATTTGACAATTATTTAAGGAATGTAATTGGGGAAAAATAACGTCATGCTTTAGTCCCGGTGAGAAGCATAGCACCTTGGTTTTGGAGGTATTCAGGACTAGTTTAAGAGCAACTAGCTGATGTTGTACTTTGTTGAAATCACCCTGGAGCTTAGCAATCACGTCATCTGGAGAGCGGCCAGCAGTAATCAGTATCGTGTCATCTGCAAAAAGATTTACCCTGGAATGATCCAGGTCAGTGCCCAAGTCATTGACGTAAAGAGAGAACAAGAGGGGGCCGAGGATGGAACCCTGTGGAACCCCTTTTGTCATCTTAACACTGTTTGACCTCCAACCATCTGTGAATACAGTTTGGGTGCGAGAAAAGAGGTAATTTTGTAACCATTTTACTGCGTTTTTGGAAAAACTGAGGCAACTTAGTTTACTAAGCAGGGTGTTGTGGTCTACTGTATCAAAAACTTTGGAAAGGTCTGGAAAAAGACAGGCACAGTACTGCTTATTATCAAGGCTACTGTAAATTTGATTCAGAGAGTCTAATGCAGCAGATGTGGTGCTATATATTTTTTCGGAACCCAGATTGTTTTAAATGTAGTAGATTGTTGGTGGACAGGAAACTGCTAATTTGGTAGGTCAATAATTTTTCAAAAATTTTCATCAACGGGGACAAAATTGAGATAGGTCGGTAGTTATTTGGATCATCTTTAGGGCCCCCTTTGTGAAGTGGACGGACATAGGAATGTTTCCATGCTAGAGGAACTGATGCTTCTTTGATGGACAGGTTGAAAATATGGGCTATAAGTTTGTATATTAGGTGACCAACAGTTAGTAGAGCAAAGACGGGAAAACTATCTGCTCCGGTAGAGGAGGACCCTTTGAGGTAGGACAGTTGTTTCAGAACATTACTTTCGTGGATTGGCTGGAAACTAAATTCGTTTAATGTTTGGACAGGGGTGTAGGAATTTGCATGAGCAGGGGTGACTCCCAATACATTATCAAAAAGATTACCAGCTTCAGACAAATGAAGGTTAAAATTGTCAACTATTTTTTGGGGGATCTGAAAAATATTCCCCATTTCGGTTAAGCTCAACGGGCAGATTGTCTGTTTTGGATGCCTTTTCGATAGATTTGATTGTTTTCCAAAAAATCCTGGCATTTCCATGTGATTCCAGGAGAGTGGAGGAAAAATAGGCATTTTTTGCATGCCGTATTTTTTTGACGCATCTATTCCTTAAAATCCTGTATTCTAGCCAGTCATTGACCAAATTACTTTTCTGAGCACATGCCCAAGCCTTGTCCCTAGTTTTCATGAGCTTTGTGATCAAAGGATCAAACCATGTGGGCGGTTGCCTTTAGTTTTAAATCTAACCAACGGAGCATGTTTATTAAGAATTTGGAGAAACGTGTACCTGAAGGTCTCCCAAGCCTTAGGTTGGGGATATCACAGACCTTGTCAATATCCGAGTGAAGCACATCATTAGTAAATGCCTGAGTGCTGAAGTGTCTCATAGAGTGCTTCTCAACCAATTTAGGGGGGCTTTGGGTCTGGCTGATGATCTCACACCAAAAATGAAGGAGTGATCACTAAGGTTATTACCCAGAACACCAGTCAGTGTGAAATTGTGAGGGGCATTTGTCAATAGGACGTCAAGCAGAGATGCCTGTCCCGGATTTTTTAGGTTGGGTCTTGTGGGAACGTGTATTAATTGAAACAGGTTAAATTCACCCACTAAAACTATTTCACCTTTAGGGAGGCCCCCAAAAATCTCTCTCAGTGCAGATGCAGCTTTAACATCCTTCCCACTAGGCGGTCTATAGCAGCATACTACCAATATCTGTTGATTATTTGGAAGAGTTATTCTGAGAGGCAAACCTTCAAAGCAACATTTTTTAAACAAGGAGTGAGCTGGTGAACATGCAATAGTGTTACGAACATAGATGGCAATTCCACCTCCTTTAGATCCTCGGTCAAGCCGAAAAAGGTTTTAGTTGTCAATCGTAATCTGCAAGTCATTGACGGCAGGAGTGAGAAATGTTTCTGTTAGGCAAAAAATGTCCGGGTCAAGATTTGCCACTTCTAGTTTTAGTTGACTTAATTTAATCACAAGCCCTCTGATGTTGACATGTAGAACACCAACACCTTTCCTGCCAGAAACATCTACGGAATTATACGAGTTTCTACAGAATTATACAAGTGAGCAGAGTGTCAGGGACTCCGAAAGCACGAAGAACAACCCAGAGCCCAGGCCTACTGATGGTATCATAGGCCTTGACCAGGTCAATAAAGCAGAGATGTAAGTCTTGTTGGAATTCCCTACACCTCTGCTGTAGCAGACGGACAGAAAATATGGCATCTGTGCAGGACCGCCCTTTCCTGAAACCGCATTGGGGCTCCGCAAGCCTCTCCTCAGCGTGCCTGGCAAGGCGATGTTGAATAACCCTTGCCAGGACCTTTCCCGGCACACCGAGGAGTGAGATGCCCCTGTAGTTGTTACAGTCTGTGCGGTCCCCCTTCTTAAAAAGGAGGACCACCAGGGCATCCTTCCAATCCTGCGGAACCCGTCCAGTGGTCCAGACCGTTGTTATGATGTCATATAGGGCAGCCTGCGCACAAACGCCACCCTCCCTCAGCATTTCGCTTGGGAGATCATCTCTGCCCGCTGCCTTTCCTGGTCTCAGACTCCGGATCGCCTTCAGTACTCCCTCAACAGATGGCACCTCAGCCAGCCACTCACAGGGGGGTGACTTCTTCCTCCTCCAATATTTGATGACCTGCTCAATCTACCTGACTCTCCCCCTCCCTGTCTCTCCCTCCATCTCTCCCTGTACCTCTGACCCCAGGCTCTACCCACCCGAGCGTGAGGGGCCATGATCCCCGTCACCGACCTGCGCTACTTTGCCGACACCCACCAGAGCTTCCGCGTGCTCAAGCCCTGGTGGGATGTCTTCATGGACTACACGGCCATGGTCATGATGATGATCGCTGTGTTTGGCGGAACCCTGCAGGTGGGGAGACGGGGGGGTGGCGTTGGGGGGGAGGGGGGGTGGACGTATGGGTGGACGTCACTCGGACGTCACTCGGACGTCCACTCTACACTATACACTACACTATACACTACACTATACACTACTATGCACTACACTATACACTACACTATACACTACACTATACACTACTATACACTACACTATACACTGCACTATACACTACACTATACACTACTATACACACTACACTATACACTACTATACACTACACTACACACTACACTATACACTACACTATACACTACACTATACACTGCTACACACTATACACTACACTACTATACACTACACTATACACTACACTACTATATACTACACTATACACCACACTATACACTACACTATACACTACACTATACACTGCTACACTACTACACTACTATACACTACACTATACACTACACTGCTATACACTACACACTACACTATATACTACACTATACACTACACTACACTATACACTACACTATACACTACACTATACACTACACTATACACTACACTACTATACACTGCACTACTATACACTACACTACTATACACTACACACTATACACTACACTATACACTACACTACTATACACTACACTATACACTACACTATACACTACACTACTATACACTACACTACACACTACACTACACACTACAGTATACACTATACACTACTACACTATACACTCCACTACTATACACTATACACTACTACACACTATACACACCGCAGGTCACCCAGGACAAGATGATCTGCCTGCCCTGCAAGCACTTTGAGGGCGACCGCTGCCTGGCGTCCAGGGCGGATGTCCTGGCCGTGGTGTCGCTCAACGCCTCTCGGGAGGCCGCGGCCGCGGGCTCGTCCACCTCGTCGTCCACCGCGTCGTCCACCGCGTCGTCCACCTCGTCGTCCACCTCGTCGCAGGTGGCGGTGAGCGACAGAGGTGGCGTCGCCGTCACCGTCGTTGCCGTCGTCGTCGTCGTCATCGTCGTCGTCTTCATCGTCACTGTCATTGTCATGATTGTCATCATCGTTGTCATCATCATTGTCATCGTCACTGTCATTGTCATGATTGTCATCATCGTTGTCATCATCATTGTCATCGTCATTGTCATTGTCGTCATCATTGTCATCATCGTCACTGTTATTGTCATCATTGTCATCATCATTGTCATCATCATTGTCATCATCATTGTCATCATTGTCATCATCATTGTCATCATCGTCTCTGTCATTGTCATGATTGTCATCGTCATTATCGTTGTCACCGTCATCATCGTCATCATCATCACCGTCATCATCGTTGTCATCGTCAT